CCATCCAGACTTTGGAGGATATGTTGCGGGCGTGCGTGTTAGATTTCGGTGGTAGCTGGGATACCTATCATCCCTTGGTTGAGTTCTCGTACAACAACAGCTACCACGCGAGTATTGACTGTCCCCCATTCGAGACGTTGTATGGTCGGAGGTGCAGGACCCCGATATGTTGGGGTGAAGTTGGACAGAGGGTCATGGGGAACACCGAGGTGGTGCTCAAGACGACCAAGAGAATCCAGCAGGTTTGGAGCAGGCCTCAGACTGCATAGAGTCGACAGACAAGTTACGCCGACAAGCATCGATTAGACCTGGAGTTCTAGGTCGGGGATATGGTTCTCCTGAAGGTGTCGCCTTGGAAAGACGTCATTCGATTCAGGAAGCGGGGCAAGATGGGCCTGAGATTCATTGGACCATTCAGAGTTGTAGCTCGGGTGGGCAAGGTAGCATATAGGCTGGATCTGCCAGCCGAGCTTAGCCAGATCCACAACACCTTCCATGTCTCCCAACTGTGGAAGTGTCTCGTGGATGATTCAGCGGTGGTGCCATTAGAGGATATACAGGTTGATAACAGCCAGAATTACATTGAGCGTCCAGTCGTAATCCTCGATCGGAAGTCGAAGGATCTAAGGAACAAGAGGGTGGAGCTAGTGAAAGTGCAATCGGAACACCGCAAGGGTTCAGAATGGACTTGGGAGCCGGTGGAAGAAATAATGGAGCATTACCCCGAGCTGTTTCAGGATCGAGCGTCAGACTTCGAGGACGAAGTCTAAAATAAGTGGGGGAGATTTGTAGCACCTGGTTCCTGGTACGTAAAATTTATCTAAGTGTTTATCATTTTAGCCTTGGACTTGGCGAGTTGTAGGTCCGACTCGCCGAGTAGGGACGCGGTTCGGGGGCATGTTTAAGTTGGCGACTTGGCGAGTCCATATTCTGGACTCGGTGAGTCACTGCTGTTTGATGAAACCCTAAATTTCAAGGGTTTGCACCCTATTTAAACCCTCATTTCCGCCCCAAGCTCGCCCCCGTTCACCCTCGGAGCTCCCAACATCGTTTTTGCCATTTTCCTTGTGAGATTGAAGTGTTTTGGTGTGTTCTTGAAGTTTTTGAGGAGAAAGAAGAGTAGATCAAGAAGAGGAGAAGGAGGCCAAGCATCTTTGTGACATCTTAACGTTTTCCTTGAGGTATAGCTCGTTTCCCCTCTATTTTCAAGCTTGTAGTCCCTATTAGCTTCATGAAAGTCCTTCTTGAGCCATTTCCCAAGCTTGTTTGTGCTTTGTGGGTTGTAATAAGTTGTTAGCCTTTAGATCTAGGCATGATTTAGTCCCTGGAGCTTGGATCTACTGCATTTATGGAGTCATATTGCATGAGAGTCCTAGATCTACCCCTTTTGGTGCACTTTGAGCCCTAAAACCTTCATTCGTGATTATCTACATGTAAAGTTGGAAACTTTACGTGTAAACCAGGCCCTAGGAACCCAGATCTATGAATGGCACGGACTGGATTCAAGCAAGATCGCGTGTATAGTTTTTGCATGAGGCAGACTCGGCGAGTCGTTCATCTGACTTGGCGAGTTGGGTCGCGAGTCCTCGAGTTGTTCCTCTTTTTATGTTTGCGAGTTGGAGTGAGTCATAGGGTATGACTCAGTGGGTTGGAAGCTAGACTCACTCATGAAGTCACTCGGCGAGTCAATGCCATTACTCGGCTAGTTTATGGCAATCTTCTTGTCTCAAGAACAACTCGGCGAGTTGTTCATACAACTCAGCGAGTCACAGCTTAGAGTGTTCTTCGGATGAAGGCGAACTCGGCGAGTTGTTCATACAACTCGGTGAGTAGGATGAAGGACTAGTGGACTTTGGTATAGAGGAAGGGACTCGGCGAGTTGGCAAGCCAACTCGGCGAGTCTGGTCATTTGGAAGTTGACTGTGTCTTGACTCATGACTTGTTAAGGGTAAATGGACAATTTACCCTGAGGGAGGTTAGCAGTATTTGACTAAGTGTTTGGTGGGAATTACAATCGGAGGATTTCCGGAGCAGCAGCAGCAGACAGACCATTCCCACACAAATCAGCAGCTGTGGGTCTAAGGCCACAATGCCGGCCCACCCGTAGGAGATGTATGATAGATGATTGTCTTTGTGATATCATCTAGGTTTGCTACTACCTGATATGTTATATGCTAGCATGATATGTTGTATGTGATAGTAGTAGTAGAGTTCGGTTGTTAGGACCGAAGGGTAGTCAGACACCCCAGATACGTCTGACAGTATATGATGATATGTTTGCATGCTGACTTTTTATGTTATATGCGATAGAGGTAGTAGTATGTGACAGTAGTCAGACACCCCAGATACGTCTGACAATTCGGTTGCTAGGATTGAAGGGTAGTTTAGGAACCCCAGATATGTCTGATAATATGTTATGTTATGATATATGTGATAGTAGCAGTAGGGGGTGAAATAGTCCCCGAGGTTCGGTCGTCAGGACCGAAGGGTAGTCAGCACCCCAGATTGGCTTGACATGGGTAGTCAGCACCCCAGAATGGCTTGACACGGGTAGGTCGGCACCCCAGAATGGCCGTACCGGGTAGGTCGGGCACCCCAGAAATGCCTGATAATATGTATGAAATGTGATTGTATGGTATGCGGTATGATGGGGGAACTCACTAAACTTCGTGCTTACAGTTTTCAGTTTTGGTTTCAAGTACCTCTTCTTCGAAAGGGAAAGAGCTGGCGCGGTAGTGGCCCATTACACACATGCTCTGTATTCCACATCATGAGATCTCCTGGGGATTTGTACTCTGACATTATTATCTTTTATGAAATGTTTTCCAGACATGCAATATCTTTATAAAATGTTATGATCAGTAAACGTTTAAATTCGAATGTTTTGCTAAATGTATGTTTTCAAAAATGACATTTTTGGCTCGTATTTTGGGGTGTTACATAAGATGTCGGCAACAAACCCATCGACGGCCTTAAGGATATCACTTTTCTTGTTAAGGGAAAATGAACAAATAAAATTGGCTATAATATCATACCTTTTACTCACCAAATCATGCATGGAATTACATTTTATAACACCTAGTTACGAGATGCGTTGGAGTAAACCAATGCACAACTGATTTGCAAAAAAGGATTTATATATCTCTATTTGAAGAATAGAATATATATCATTTTAGAATTACTCATGATTGATTCTATGAATTAATCTCTAAGTGCGGGTTTAAAAAAAAATACTTAAAATCCATTATTTTCCTAGTACTCCTAAATATCGCATCAATCCTTATGTAATGTCCAATCATTATGGACATTCTACAATCAATCCATGATAATCTTAAATTAATACTTATTAATAGAAGTATGACCGACTATGGCATTTTGAATAAATTAATATTCAAGATGTAACATGCAAAATGAAACACAATAATAAACTAATTGTTCTATGGCATCATACTCTTTGAAAATAAATAATTTCATACTATTTAATCACCATTACAGCTATAGATTTATCTATTGTATAAATGTTTTGGGAATCAACTTAACAACTGAAACTGTTAACAGAACTCATGCCAATGATCTTAGCATGCATATTATGTTTTCCTTTGGTCATCACTATTGTGAACAAATCATCGAAAAGATATTCACTTCATAACTAGGAGGGTGTTTAGGATTGCTTATAAAAAGGGCTTATTAGCTTATTTGCTTATCTAATAAGCAAATAAGCTGAAAAATGTGTTAGGGAAATGAAAAGTGCTTTTAAAAAGGGCTTATTGGTAAAGAAGGAAGAGCAATTTTTGAAAAGCAAGAGAGACGTGGCTTATTAGGGCTTTTGGCTTCTTAAAATTAAAATTACCGTTATAGCCCCCACCCTAATAATCGACATTTAATTCTTCACACCAACCATTCATTATTGTTCTCTTCCCTCTGTGTTTTTCTCCCCTGTGCGTCGTTTACATCATTCATCCGTCTCCAGCCGATCTTGAGCCGATCTCCAAGACCACCGCTGCCACTGCCAGTGTCAACAACCCATTCCGACACTGTTCCGATCTGGTAAGTTCCGACAGGCTGTTCCAAGTCTTACTTCATTAATTTTCACAACTCTATTTGATAGTTTTGTTTACATAAGTCTATTGTTCTGCTGAAAAATTGATGTGTTCATGAAAAATTGATGAAATTTGTTTAGAAGTTAAGTTAATAGGTGGATTTTTTTCTGTAAATTGATGAAATTGTTGTATCAGGTGATTTTTTCTGTGAAAAAATGTTTTTACTCCTTCCTTTGACTGATACATGTTAACTTCAATTTAATAGTTTGATGTATTCATGAAAAATTATGAAATTGATGAAATCGGTTTAGAAATTGAATGAAATTGTTGAAAAATCACATATAATAGTTGGTTTAACTATGAAATCACTTATAATAGTTAGATTTTTTTTTTTGGTTTACAGTTTTATTTGTGTGTGAATTTGTTACATATTCAATAGTTTACATATTCATTCTATGTAATTCTCAGATTATGGACGAAAACCACATTAATGTTGTTGATTGTGAAACATCTAAAAAAAATAAGGTTGTATGGGATAATTATACCTTCAAGGTGTTTATTGATGCTTGTGTGATTGAAGTAAAAAAAAAAAGGGAATATGCCTACTAGTCATTTCAATAAGGTTGGGTAGGAGAAGAAAACACATGAAGGAAAAAATAGGAAAAAACTATGAAAGAAAACAACTTAAAAACAAATGGGACATTATGAAAAAAGAATGGAAGCTTTATGACCGTTTAATGATGATTGAAACTAGAATTGGTGGGACAAGAAGTTTAATAGACGCCTCGCCTGAGTGGTGGGAGGAGGGTGGAGAAAATAAAGGTATGATTTACTATTTTTTAAAATTATTTTAAAATTATCATTGCATAGTGAAATCAATGAAATAAAAATTATTTGTGTGTGTTGCAGGAGAATAAAGAATATGCCAAATTTAGGGACACAGATTTGAGCATATTTGACATGAAATACGCTATTTTGTTTCGGGATTTTGTTGTTGTTGGAGATAAGACTATGACTCCGTTACAATTTCAAAACAACGAAGAAAATATGGAGGGCGAAGGAGATAGTGATGAAATCAATTTAGATGACGATGAGACTCTTTTTCCTAATTTCCCTGAAAGTAGTTCAAGTAAAAGGAAGAAGTCTAAGAATGTTTCCAACATTCGTTCAACCAAGAGTAAAACTTCAATCTACGAGGAAAAAGTAGATGCTTTATTAGATGCCATATCAACAAAAAGTACACAAACTTTTCCTCAAAATAATCTCTCCCCAACAATAGCAGATTGCATGACCGTTGTCATCAAGTTTCTCGGTTTCGTTGAAGGTTCCCAAGAGTATTCACAAGCATTGCTTGTCTTCACCAAAAAACAAACCGTGAATCTTTTATGTTTCCAACTAGTGATGATGCAAAGATGGAGTTTCTTAAGTTACTAAATAAATAATGATTTGTGATTTGACATCATGTCTTATTGTTTTATGTTTGATGTTATGTGTTATGTTTTTATGTGTTAGCTGTTGACATTATGTAATCGAGATGTTATATTATGTGTTATTGTTTGTCGTTATGTGATTGATAATTTCATATTATGTGTTATTGTTTGTCGTTATGTGATTGATAATTTTATATTATGTGTTATTGTTTGACAATATTTTTTTATATGTAGGATGGATAGTGATGATTCTAATTCGTGTGACGATAATGTGGAATGTTGGGTGGAAGAGGATAGAAAATTCGAAATGTTATGTGGGTTAGCTCTGAAAGGGATAATACTAGCTTGTAAGATACGTAGGCCATGTCACACTTCAGCCCGCACCGGTCACATATTTATTAATGAAGTATTAAATGGTCATCCTAGACGGTGTTACGAGATGTTTAGACAGCATGTACCGGTTTTTAGACAATTATGCATAGATCTTGCTACAAATTACGGACTTCAACAAACACGGAATATATCTATTGAGGAGTCGGTAAGAATATTCTTGATGACTTTGGCCGATGGATGTAGCAATAGATTTGTGCAAGATTTTTTTAATCATTCCGGGGAAACGATTCATAGGCATTTCCATACAGTTTTGGCAGTTGTGCTTAAGATGAGTGCCGACATCATCACGCCAGCCGCCAACTATAATGATGAAGTTCCTGAATATATATTAAACAATCCTCGATATTATCCAATGTTCAAGGTATTATCTAGTGTTCAATTACCTCGCCAAATGATTTATTTATAATATCTTTTTGTATTTGCAGGATTGCATTGGCGCTATAGATGGGACACGCGTTAGGGCATCCGTTTGACAACATGAGGAAGCGAAATACATTGGTCGAAAGGGATATGCTACACAAAATATAATGGTTGTTTGTGATTTTAACATGTGTTTCACATTTGTGTGGGCCGGATGGGAGGGGACTGGACATGACACAAGAATTTTTAATGAAGCGTTATAGAGACCGGATCTTCATTTTCCGTTTCCAACGGGTGGTTAGTATAAATTTTTATTAACACGAGTTTTATGTTTTTAATACTTGTTTGAAACGAATAACAATTGTTTGTTATTTTACAGATAAATATTATGTTTTTTTATGTCGGATACCCAAATACCAGAAGGTATCTTTCTCCATATAAAGGAACTAATATTCGTTATCATTTACCGGATTTTCGACATGGACATACAACTGCTATACTTGAAACTCGTGGATCGAAAGAGAAATTTAACTTTTACCATTCATCATTGTGAAATATCATTGAACGGGCTTTTGGAGTATGGAAAGCTAGGTGGGCGTTATTAAGAGACATGCATGTTAATTACAAGTACGAGCACCAAGTGAGTATTGTGATTGCATCGATGGCAATCCATAACTATATTAGAAATACCGGTAGGTTTGATGAAGCATTTAATAGGGTACAACAAGAATCCTACATTCCTGCACACAATCGTACTAGTAGTGAAGGTGATGCAAAAGGTCCAAGAACACATCGCACGAGTAATGATAGCTCGTATATGGAAACGATACGAGATATTGTTGCGCAAGATATAATGGAATTTCGGAGATGAATGTAATATGTCGTAACATATGATATTTTTTTATGAATTATTTAGAATTTGTATTATACTTTTGTATGAACATAATTTTAATATTATAATGGTAAAAAATATCTTTAAAAAAATATATTATATACTTTGTAAAAAAACTTTTAAAAAATGTTTAATATGAAGACATGTCCTTTTTGGTCATTTTATAGGTAAAAGCTAAGCCAAACACTTTTTAAAAAACAGCTTATTGACTTTTTAGCTTTTACCACCTTAAAAGCTAATCCAAACACATTTTTTAAACTGCATTTAAAAAAAAAACAATAAGTCAATAAGCACTTTTCTAGAAAATCACTTTTAAGTATAAAAAGCACTCCAAACACCCTCTAGATCTCTATCCTCAACATTTTCTTGGATGTAGTGTTATTTCCTCCTTCTATGTATTGACCTTCTATGATCTCAAGAATCCTTAGTCAATATGATTTTAGTTTTACAAAATATTTCCAATGGTAATTCTTTACTGAAAACGAATCCAAGGTCAACTATGAAGTTTTCTAGTCCAGGTACACACCTTGGATACTTCACTTGCACTAATGTGTTATTACCCACATTGTAGAATCTACCACCATCTCCTACATGAAAGCTTTCATGCTACATCTCAAAATGAGTATCTACTTAGACTAGACTCAAAATCATCACTAAAGTTCATGTCACTATAACTCTTTTCAATCATATTCTCTAGTGTCCATAACGAACCATTCCTTGGTATCTTTCAATACTTCAGAATGTTCTTGACAGTTGTGTAGCGATTCACTCAAGCTAAATTCTGGTCCAATCTTACGATGCTTAAAATATCTGAGACATCAGCACAAGTCAAAACATTCATGATCGATCCTATATCCGAGGAATATGGGACTTGACTCATCCTATCCTTTTTATGATTAGTACAAAGTACTTTTGATATTTACTCACCTCTTTGATATGCAACATATAAACAATCCCTTACTTGAAATTTTCATGTTGAAACCTTTCAACGCATTATTCTTAGATTGGATCCTATTAAACTTTCAATCTATACTTTTAGATCCAAAATCCAAGTATTAATGTCACTTGCCATTGTCCATCATAGCAAAAAATTCCGAATCATTTGCACATTGCAACTCAGATACAATGTTTCATATGATTAGTATTGATATCAACATGCAAAACCAAGAAGAAGACACTCCCACTAGCATTGACATGTAGTCACGACTAATCTGAACTTCTAGAAAGACAACACTCTTCGACTTTCTAATGGAAGAACATATTCCTACTATGTGATGCTTGTCTAAATTTACAAATAGACTTCTTAAGGTTACACACATTGTTCGGATAATTTGTATGTTTAAATCCTTTAAGAGCATGTCATATATCCTTTGAAAGTTTCCTATTAAATAAAGTCATTTAAACATCCACTTTACCATATCTTATATCAAAGTGGACAACAATGGTAACAAATAACCAATTAGATCTTTCTCAACTATTGGTGTGAATGTTTCCTCATAATTAATTTCTTGATTCAGAGCGAAAACCATTTCTACCATACCAACTTTGAATGTGTGTACATTCCTATCCATGTTAGGGGTCATTTGTTTATGCTTCTAATTGGGTCCAACAGAGGACCCGATCCAAAAAAGATAGATTAGGATGTTCAATTTTGTTTTTGCAATTAAGGACTCGGTCCAAGTCTTAGACTCAGTCCAAGAAAAAAACCTAATTCGATCCTTCCCTCTCAATCGATGGACTGGGACTACGTCATATATGCGGATGCGTGTTTACCCTATGTACGTTGATAACCTCCATAGAGAAGGTAGCGATCATTGAAGCAATAATAGTACCGATCAACAGGTTCTTCCTTCATTCTTATTTATTCTTAGTTTTTTTGTTCATGTTGATAACCTCTACAGCAAAAAATGCAGCCTTCTTCATTCTGAATTTTTTTATTGTTTGCTGATTTCTTCCCCCGCTCGTTCCTTATGTTTTTGGCTGCAAAATATATTATTTTTATTGGGATTTCGTTTTAATTTGTGTATATGTGAATATGTATATCTCTATTTTTATGGCAAGAAAACATATTAAATGACTAGTGAATGTACATTCGTCAGTGAAAACGCATCAGGTTGTTCCCTTCTTTTTAGTTTTTATGGGCAACATATTGCGATTGCTCTCGCCTATATAGAACTTCTTGAAAAGTGAACCATAACAAACAAAAATTGGGATTGTTTTTTGATAATTTTAGCTTGAAAATTTGATCCATCAGTAGTAGTTGTAGTTTGGATGTATTGGTTGTGAAACAACGCAAAGTTACATGCACGGATAAAAGGAATTGATTATGTTATGAAATGCAGAAGTAGAATCAAGAATTAGAGGAATTAATTGAGAAAGTTATTAACAACAATAATGTCCAAAATGATTGTCTTCTTTATTGCTTGAAGTTGTGTGTATATATGTATATATTTGTGTATACATCTATGTAATATGTTTAACGTTCATTTATTCCTTAGACATGGCAGAAAAGAGAAGTAGAGCTAATTGGTCTTTGGATTTTATGAGCAAAACTTTTCTTATTGCATGTATACAACAACTAACAAGTAACGGTCAGGAAGGATACACATGGAATACAATAGCTGAAAAGAAAAAAAAAACATGACTTTGTTGTTGACAAAAAAACAAATGAAATATCGTTATGACTACTTGAAAATCAAGTATGCGGTTTGGTTGAAATTAAAAAACAAAATTAGGAATATGTATAATCCTATAGCAAACACGTTTCAAATGACGGACGAAGAGTGGAAAGCGGAGGCGAAGGTATTCTTTTAATTTAAAACACATTATTTTAAAAAAAAAATGTTCAATAATAATATCATTTTTTCAAACAGTTGAACATGATGGTTGAGAAATTAAGAAACACGCCCTCCTTTACCCAGATCTATGCGCCTAGTTGTTTGACGGTGCGACCTCGACCGGTGATCCCAGTTGGGGACCATCTTCGGCTTGTGAGTTGTGGTGAAAAGTGCAGGCAAAATTTTTGGATTACTTGTTTGACTTTAGTATGACTTTAGGATGTTTTTGGCTTTATGTTTTATGTATTTATAGTATGGTACATGTGTAACAACATCAAAAATTAGTTCAAAAACATATATAATAAAATTTAAATTCAAATAAGCCGACGAAGTCTAAACGAGAGTTGTAGAGTATAATCTCACCTTCACGTCAATATAAAGAACGTCGAAAATGGAGTTCGTATGCAAAAGTTATGAATTTCTAAAGTTTGGGGCGCGAAACCCCAAAACCGTCAGAGGCCACGATGTGAAATTAGGGTTCATGACGTGAAATGTCTTCTAACGCCTCCTGGAGTCTTCCATACCCAACTTGCAATGACGCATGCAGTGACGATCAAGCCCATGACATGAATAAGCTTGGTTCATGACTTGGGACCCCAAAAAAGACCCTATAAATAGAAACCGAAGGTCTCGGGTTTAGGCTGCTCATTTCTATTCTTCTGGCCACTTTTACTCTGCGTTTCGCATCCCGAGAATACCCCGACGCCCCAGTTATGTGTCCAGATCCCGACAAAGGATCGAAGTCCTGAAGTTCCTGAGAAATAAATCTTTTCCAGTCAAAGTACTGCCCGCGTGAAGCCCGTTTTTTCACCAAAAACCCATTGTTTCGTCAAGAACGATCCTTCCTAGTAATGAAGTGCTGCCCGATTCTCTACTTACCAAGTGAGTTCATACCCCCATTTCTACGCTTTTAACTGATTTTAAATGCTTTTGAATGATGAGTTAACAACTCTTAGATCGATTAGATCTTTCACAAGTACGACAACAGTAATCAAACAGTTTAAGAATAGTATGAGTAAGAACACAAAAAAGAATCAAACTTATGCTTATGATTCAAACAAAGTCACACCTCACCAGAGCTCGATAAAGAACTTCCGCTGTAGAGGCGAGCTAGGGTTTATAGTAGATCTGAAACAAAAAAAATCAAAGTGCTAACTTCTAAGTCTGCATGCATGCAGCTTATATACTAAACCCAAATACAAAATTATGCACGAATGGACAGGCCCAATACCTACATTCAAACTGGGCTATAGACCAAGCCCATGACGCAACCCAATAGACTCAACAATCTCCCCCTTTGCATCAAATGAGGCAAGAGATTATTTCTTCTGAGCAGGCCTCACTGTCTTTACAACTTTAAACAGTTTAAGAATAATGGCAAGAAGAGTCTGTCGGAATCGAATGTACCACCTTAGCATGTCAACAACAAGATTCTTATCATCAGCGCTATTCTGGTCACACCTATGTATGATCTCCAAGATCTGCTTTAGACAAGACGTAGAGAAGAGGTGTTTATCAACAAGGCCGAACATACATTTTTGACCTTCGCCCCTGAGAAACATGACTGTATGATACGTTGAATTTATCTTCCCCTGGATCATGGTATTGACATTGCCAGATTTGCCCATGGGTTTGATCGTTGGTCGCTTGTGTATGGCAGAGGCAATTTCTTGCTCCATCTTCGCTACCTCATGAATGTAGCAAACAAGCATACGCTTGACATGATTGATTATTGGTTGATACTCCTAAGGATTCAGCAGAAGAATGTTGTTGAGGAGTATCCAGTCATGGGGGTTGAGATTTGGAAGATCAGTAAGGGAAAAATGGTAGACCGAGCCTTCGGTTCCTCGATTCACCCTGAATTTGACATTAATAAATTTCCCTGTTGAATAGGGCTTCATCACCTTGACTGTAGTTATCTTCTTTAAGCTCCAGGTCTGGTATTGGGGTTCAGCAAACTCCAAGTAAAACTCCAGAAAATCCCTATCTACCTTCGGGTTTGGATAAGGAATAGCAACAGTCGAGTTAAAGCAGTGGAAGATGAATGCCTTTCGGGTGATTGGCATGTCAAACTGTGCATCCTTGGAGTTGTCAAGACCGAAGGACATTATTGGTTCGCGCCAGAGAACAGTTGTCTCGTCAACTACACATCTCTGAAGCGATTCTTTTGTCCATATAGGAAACATGGACTTTTTCTTTTCAAGGAGCTCAGTCTCCTTTTGCTTCATTTCCAGATCGGCTTGCTGCTTCTTGATGTTTTCTTCCAGTTCTTTTTCTGAAGTTTTAACTTTCTGGAAGGGATTTGTTGGATTTTTAGCATATACATCTTCTTCATTGTCTGTATCATCATCACCAATTTTCTTCTTCTTTTTGTCTTTGTTGCTGACCGAAGCTACATTACCCTTTGGTCCAGCAGACGGTCCAACTAATGGCTTTGATCCAGAAGGAGGAGGTTGCGATGACACTTTCTCTCCCCCTTGTTTCGGTTGGACCCCGGTAACCGGAACACCTTCAATGCGGCTAAAAACATCCAATGTCGGTCAGAGCTTTTCCACCAAATGACGTCTCACATTGATAGTGATGACCGGATCATGAGCCTCAACAAGATGAAGAAGGATTGAGTGAACGTCTCCAGCAGAACTCCTAATAACTTCCCTTTCTGACTTGAGGTCATTAAGGGCAGCCTCAGTAGTACGCAGCTTCTGAGTTTGCAATTTGAGCTGGGAGGTACGTTGATCAAGCTCATCCATAATTCGATTTTCCACAACTAACTCCGCTTCCAGTTGAGTTAAGCGATCGTGGACATTAGCATGGAGTTTCTCGTTGGTTGTTGAATGGCTAGGCGTGCTGCTTCAAGGTTCGAGCGCTCAGCTTGAATGGACTTTTGAAGGTTCTCAACTGAAGCATTGACCATTTTAGCATTTTTGGCAGCAGTACCTTGCAATGAATCTAAAAATATGTGAGCTTCGGAGACTAGTTTATCGACTTTTGTGGTCGCCTCCTTGCATTACTTGGTGGAAGTGGAGGCCGCAATTGCCTTGGCTGCATCGGATAGAGAAGTGTTGTGTTCGGTGACAACTGAGGAGAACAAAGCCTTCAAGGAAGCTTCAGAATAAGCACCAGATGTAGAGGAAGAGGAGGAACGCAGCTTGTCAAGGTTTTCGTTTATGGCCTTTAAATGACGTTTGGTAACTGGCTCATCATCATCGTCATCACTCTGCACTCTATAAGGATTGAAGTATGTGGAATCAAACTCCAAATCCTCACCACCCAGTATAGGGGTTGTTTCAGCAGATTGCGTAGGAGATAAAGGTTTGGAAGAAGGTGGAGGTTTGGTTGTAACTTGTGGTTCGGTTGTGACTGGAGGTTCGGGTGCAGGTGGATCAGGAACAGTAAAGCGAGTTTGTGTGGTCGTGGTGGTATCTGTGAATATGGGAGTGGGATTGGGAATTGTAGTGGATGGTGGAGAGGTGAAAACTGGGATTGTTACAGGTATAGGTGAGGGGGGATTGGAGCGAACTGGAATGTCTGGGGTAGGAGAGCGAGGTGGAGTATCACCTTGGCCCGAAGCCTCTTATTCTAGGCTTTCACTCTCAGATTCTGATGGAGGAGCATTTTTGTGCTTAGGAGGGACATATTCTGAATCGCTTGAAGATTGCAGAATAAGTCTCCGAGCCGGCTTCTTTTTCTTTTTTGGTTGAACCTGAGAAGGGCCAGCTTTATCAGTCTTTTGCTTCTTAGGGGTTTGCCCCTTGGTTTGGTTGGTGACCTGTTCTCTCTTCTGTGTTTCAGACTTTTTGCCCCTCTTAGCTGGCTTGTCAGCCTCCTCAATGGACCGAACCATTGCCTGTATAAGCTCTCTTGGGCCAGCCGATGGACACTTCCTGTATTCTTGTAGAACATTACTCGACTCAGAAATACGACTGAGCATCGATTCAGGAATGGAGCCAATAAACGAAAACTTCGATGGATCAGTAACAATGATCTTCATCGTATGAAAAGTAGCCATGGATGAGAGCAAGGAATCCACCATTATTGGAGCACGAAGGCGGTCCATTGCCCATTGGGTGATGATAGATCAAAAACACCCACATGATATCTCAGAATGCCTGGATGAAGAAACCATGATTTGAACCAACTGTTGCCATATGATGGTCCCATAATCTAGGTTAATGCCATGGTACAACCCGTATAGTACCGTCATGAAGGATTTTCTTGCACCATCGGAGTCGGCGCTTCGCTCAGGCAGTCCTTTGAATAATAACGTAAAAAGGCCATTCCATTGGGGAGGAAGGCAGGACTTCTTGAACTTCGTAATGGTTGTTAGGGTTTCAGTATACCCCATCTGATAGAACAATGAAAATAATTGACCATTAGTAATGGATTCGGGATTTACCAAAGAGGAATCTTGAGCAAGACCGATTAGGGCATAAAATCGATTCTTGGAGATGGAGGTCTTCTCATTGTGAAGTTCAAAGTGAATGCGTTCACTTATCCTATCATAGAAGGCAGAAGAGTAGACAAGATACAAGCACGACATGGGAACCACTTCAACTTTAGTCAGTGCGTCGACGAGTGGTGAGTATTTGAGACATTCAACCGCATACAACATATATGACTCATAGATAAACGGTGTAAGATCGATGATTAGATTTTGTTGAGGTTTGATGGTGAGATGGGGTTGACGAACTGAGGTATCATGAACTGAGGATGAGTCTGTCATTGATGTAGCTTGAAGAAGATAATGAACAGTTGCAGAGAATCACCGGGTTTATTTGAGAGGATTTTGGAAGTGATAAAGAATGAGAGTGTGCCGTTCCAATTCCTTTTATAGGTACACTAAGAAGAGAGAAAAATTCGGCTGAAATTTTGGAAAATCTCAGAAATAGCGCCTGAGTTGACGGGTCTACAATTGGCGTGCCGAGGATCACGCATGAGAGAGAAAGAAACGTTCCCTTTTTCGCGCCATTTCATAAAATGCACTTTTTCAAATCTCCAAGTCGTTTGGATAGTGCTTGAGTCAGCGTCCACTTTAACCCAATCGTTTCGTATGACACTTGAATCTCTGTACCTATAACACCTTAATGATCAAACGAAATTAGAACTAGAATTTGGAACGTGCATAGGGTGTAAAAGATAAAGAAATAAAACGAGGTTTTAGTGATCATATGTGATGTTGAAATCTGACATAAAACAACTGATTCTGGGCAGAAATCACTTTCTTCAATGTCAAGAGAGACATTAAAGTGCTTGCTTGGTTTCCCATGGAATCATGATCAATAAATTTTTGAGAAGTTTTAAAAGGCCTCTTTTTAAGGTTAAAGGGGTTGGCTTTTGCTTCAATTCATAATTTCGATACTTAACATAAGACCGAATTTGAATGAAGTACTTGTGAGATCATTGTGATATGTTGAACAAGTAGGTAGGATAAACTTTATAGTGACAAGGGAAAGAGGAAATCTCAAAAAAAAAAAAAAAAAAAAAAAAAAAAAAAAAAAAAAACTAGATCTTTAAGGGTAGAGAAGCATTGGTGAAAGGCAAACTCATAAAGATCACTCAAAAGAAAAAGGAGTTTTCATATGGTAACAAGTAAGATCTTGAATCGTTAGATTCACCGTCAATTCATTAGTGGTGTTGAACTTTGGGTTTCACTTAATACATAGTAGCATGAGACTAAGATCATGAACACAGATGTTGTATAACCATAAACTTCAGTGGTTAAGACTGAGAGTCTCAGGGGTTATATTGATGAAATGAATTATTATGGAGAATGATGATAGAGATGGTATAAGAAGCGAAAGTACCTCTGCATTAAAGAAAAGAAGGACCAAGCAGAAAACTCTAAACTCAATGTGAGTAGAGTAAGGTAGCTCATGATTAGAGTGAATCACGTAGCCTAGATTGGGAAAACATGATTGGTATATATCATGTTATTAAGGCTTCACTCAAAATCTGTTGAGGCTTTAGTCAACATACAACAGCATGCTTCTAGGAACTCCTAACTAGGAAAACTATTTACTTGTCTTAGCAATGCCAGAGAGCCAAATATATATATATATATATATATATATATATGTATATATATATATATATATATATATATATGAATTTTTATAAGGAAAAAGAAGTAAAGAAAAGATGTACTTAAGTGAACACTTGAAAACGCCTTTAAAAAAATGAACAAGTTCAGAAGGATCAAACCCAAAATAGACTGAATGCTCAGTTCATTTCGGTTCATGGACCAACTTTACCCGAAATAGACCGAATGTCCGGTTCGCTCAATTTCGCTTGTTACCTTTATGAGAGCGAAGACAATTTCGGTACAGACTCAGCTTGCATCATTCCTAGACCTTGTAGAATCTTATTGAAGCTTGCTTTTGGTAAGGCCTTCGTGAATATGTCTGCCAATTGATCAGTCGTTCTAACAAACTGAATTTCTACGTTACCATCTTCAACGTGATCTTTGATGAAGTGATATCTCAGAGCTATATGCTTCGTCTTTGAGTGTTGTACTGGGTTGTGACAAATCCTAATTGTGCTTTCAGAGTCACAATATAGTAGGATTTTCTTCATGTTTAACCCATAATCCCGGAGTTGACTTTGTATCCATACGACTTGAGATGTACAGGATGCTGCAGCAATGTACTCGGCTTCTGTAGTGGATAACGAAACACATGTCTGTTTCTTGGATTGCCAACTGACTAATTTACCATCAAGAAATTGACATCCTCCTGTGATGCTTTTACGATCCAATCCACAACCACCCAGATCTGCATCTGAAAATGCTTGATCGAAGAATCCTGAGTTGGCTGGATACCATAGGCCGAGAGAGGAGGTTCGCTTCAGATAGCGAAATATGTTCTTCACTGCTTGAAGATGAGGTTATCGTGGGTTGGCTTGAAATCGTGCATAGTAACAGACAGAGAACATGATGTCAGGTCTACTGGCTATGAGATACATCAGAGATCCAATAATCTGTCGATATAGGGTTACATCAGTTGCTGGTTTCTCCAAGGATGGTGTGAGTTTAGTACCAAAAGCCATAGGCACTTTCACTTTGGAGTCTCCCATCATTCCAAACTTGGTTAGCAAAGTCTTGGTATATGCTTCCTGATTGATAAAAATGCCTTCGGGTCCCTGTCTAATGTTTAAACCAAGGAAAAAGTTAATTGGACTCATTGAGCTCATCTCAAATTTAGTTTCCATCAACTTTTTGAATTCTGCTGTTAAGCTAGGATTCGTGGAGCCAAAGATGATGTGATCAACGTAAATTTGGACTATCATAATGTGGTTACCTTCTCGCTTACGAAAGAAGGTTGGTTCAACCGAACCTTGTTTGAATTTAGACATTTTTAAGAAACGAGTAAGAGTTTCATACCATGCTCTGGGAGCCTGTTTAAGACCATATACTGCTTTGTCAAGAATATAACAGTGATCGGGATACTTCTCATTCACAAAGCCCGGTTGTTGCTCAACATATACGGTTTCTTCAAGTTCACCGTTGAGGAAAGCACATTTGATGTCCATTTGATAGACTTCAAAGTTCTTGTGAGCAGCGTACGCAAGAAAGATACGAACATATTCTAATCTTGCCGTGGGAGCGAAGGTTTCTTCAAAATCAATTCCCTCTTCTTGACAATATCCTTTGACGACCAGCCTCACTTTGTTACGAATGACATTCCCCTCTTTGTCCATCTTGTTCCTAAATACCCATTTGAGACCGAGAACTGAAGCATCCTTAGGAGTTGGAATAAGACGCCATACCTTGTTTCGATCAAATTCATTTAACTCATCCTGCATTGCTTGAATCCAGTCTAAATGATCAAGAGCTGAGTTGACAATTTTTGGTTCAATTTTAGAGACGAATGAGTTGAACGTGAAGAATTCTACTTTTGAAAAAAGTGCAGCCTGTTTCGCTTTGATTTGAGAGCGAGTTAGCACTTTTACCGATGTTTCCCCAATAATATGAGTTTGCGGATGATCTTTGGTCCATTTAACAAGTGGAGGAAACATTGGATCATAAATAGGATCTAGTTCAGCATTAATTTCTTCCCCTAGTTTAGACATGAAGTCATCATCACCAACATTGGTGTTCTCCCCCTCGAAGAATAAACCCTGTTCAGGACTATCATTTGTATCTTCTTCATTGACTGGAATTTTAGTGGAGATGGATGAATTTGGCGATGAGTTATCCCTCTGGAATGAAGGACCGTGATCGTGAGGAGTAGAGGAACCCTCCCCCTGGACAGAAGGATGATCACCAGAAGGTTCGGTTGCGTTTGCGCCTTCAGTGTCTTTGGATTGATTTTCAACCATCTTCTTAGCAGCATCTTCTATAACTTCTTTCAGATTATCAACTTTGTTATCTTTTGCATTTGATTCAGAGTCAATCGCCTTTTGAGGCTCATCAAACAAGAGCATGAATTGGTCAAAAAGATTCAAGATGGAGATGCTAACCTAACCATTCTTCGAAAATATATCCTGTGATGCATCTTTTGTTGATTTCAGCTTCTTAACATAACTATCGTCAAAAGTGGCATAGTATGTTTCGTCAATTTTCTTCGATCGTTTATTGAGAACTCTATACGCCTTGGAGTTCAGGGAATAGCCTAAGAAAATTCATTCATCTGCCTTGACATCGAACTTGTTTCAATTCTCTTTGGAGTTGAAAATAAAACATCTTGAACCGAACACATGAAAGAATTTCACATTTGGTTTTCGATTGTTCAGGATCTCATAAGGAGTAATTGAGAATCGTTTATTCAAGAATGATCGATTCTAAGTATAACATGCAGCCGCGATTGCATCAGCCCAGAAGTACAATGGCAAGGACGCGAAACATAACATGGTACGAGCAGCTTCACATAGTGACCGATTTCTCCTTTCAACAATGCCATTTTGCTGCGGAGTATAGGGAGCTAACAAATTGTG